GGGGTCGAAGCTGCGGTGGCCGGGAGCGGCCACTGTACTCCAGTCTGGGCGACAGAGTGAGACTCCGACTCAAAAAAAAAAAGCCACAGGCACAGTGACAGGTGGGGGTGAGAGGTTCAGACCACACTATTAGCCAATCACACTTTAGCATGAATTCAGACAGAAACACTTTCTAGTTCACTGAACCAACGCCTTAAACAAGGAAGGCGATGAGGGTGTGAGGGAGAGGAAGACTCATTTCTCCATAATTTCTGCAAAGCAGCTGAAACCAGCAGGCCCTGGGTGTGACTCCCCAGCCCCCATGTCTGACGAATGAGGAAGTGGGAGCCCGGAGTGGGCGGGGCCTCTCTAGCCAGTGTGGCTTCCGGACCTGGGGAGCATGGCCGGGAACTCTGACTCGATCATCCTGGAGAGAACCTCTCACCTACCAAACAGGTGGGGTGGGGAGTGCCCACCGACGCCTGCCAACCACCCGGCTGCAAAAGCACCATGGAGAAAATGCAACGAGGGCCACTTCGCCCACTGGCCACACGAGGGCTCCCGGTGGAAGCAAAGGCGGGCTGAGGCCACGACCTCTAGGACACCACCCACTCATGACTGTGGCCAGGGAAGCCAGCACCGTGGGCCTCTTTGTGGAGGAATGAGAAAGACCAGGGCAGACTCCCAGGGCTGGCTCCAAGCCTCCGACCAGCCTGGAGCTGGAGCTTTGGCCACGGTCCCACAAGAGCGTCACCCATGGGGGGTGCTCCCCAGGGATGAACCCGAGGCTGGGGAGAGGCTGTTCTCCTTCAGAGCGGTCAGTTTCCTTCGGGGTTCCCTGCAGGGGGGCTGGAAGGGCTTTGGGTCTCCAAGGACGGCTCTGTATTATCCATAAAGCGCCAGAGACCTCACACTGAAATGTGAAGAAACTATTTTCTTTTTACGTACTTGAACAGAAGTTCCATGAGGGCAGGGGAATTTGTTCTGTTCATTGACCTCCAAGCCCCTGCACTAGTTACGGTGCTGGCACATGATCAGTGCTAGATAAAAATTTCCCGACTTAGGCACAGTGAACCACACCTATAATCCCAGCACTCTGCGAGGCCGAAGAGAGAGGATTGCCTGAGCCCATGGGTTCGAAACCAGTCTGGGCAACTTGGCGGGACCTCATCTCTACAATAAATCAACAAATTAGCTGGGCGTGGTGGCGCATATCTGTAGTTCCAGCTCCTTGGAAGGCTGAGGCGGAAGGATCGCCGGTGCCCAGCAGGTGGAGGCTGCGGTGGCCGGGAGCGGCCACTGCACTCCAGTCTGGGCGACAGAGTGAGACTCCAACTCAAAAATAAATAAATAAATGCTAAAAAATGTGCCGAGTGGTGGTGTGCACCTGTAGTCCCAGCTACCCAGGAGACTGAGGCGGAAGGATTGCCTGAGCCCAGGAATTCAAGACTGCAGTGAGCTGATTGTGCCACGGCACTCCAGTGTGGCCGACAGAGTAAAACACTGACTTAAAAATAGTATTTTTTGTGGAATGTGGTTGGATGAAGCAATCCCACTTTTTTTCATGTCTGTCATGACGGATGGTCTGTAGGAAACATGCTATTGACTTCAGTGGGGGCATGGATACATCCTGTAAATATTTACTGGGGAGTATGTGTTCACATACTTTTCTTTTTTTTTTTTTTCTTTTTTTTTTTTAGAGGCAGGGTCTTGATATGTTGTGCTAGCTGGTCCAAACTCCTGGACTCAAGCAATCCTCCCACCTTGGCCTCCCAAAGTACTGGGATGACAGGCTTGAGCCACCGCACCCGGACCCTCCCTCACATCTTGATCCAGAAAAGCCTGGATCAGGGCTAGGACAGACTGTAGGTGCTTCCTGCCTGGTTTTGCTAGGTTTCTCTGAACCCAGAGGTTTGGCAGGAGCTGCCCCGGACCAAGGATCTTGGCTCTCCAGGCATTCTGGAAAGTCCCCGCCCAGCTCAGAGGCTCCTTGCAGGGAGCTGCCAACAAGACATTTTGCTCGGGTGCTAAGCGGTTACTCAACTTCCTGTGGTGTGTAGGAGCTCTGGTCACCTTAATCCCTCCTCCCCAACTCTGCTCTTGAAGTCTTACAAGCCAGTAAACAAAGTACAACAATCATAAAGCACCATAATGCACCGGTTAGAGTAATCCAAACAAAACAAAAACCAAAAGCACATAAAACTCAATGCTGGCAGGACTGCGGAGAAATTCGCATTTGTTGTTCCGTCTTTCTGAAGAGTGCTCAGTTCGACAATTGGGTAGGAACAAACAGAACAGAATAACACTAACAGGAACTTAAAAATTGACATTATTTGGTTTCATACATCAGTTTCGGTACTCAAAAAATAGCCACAGACTTTTTTTTTTAAAGCAAACGGGTTCATAATAACCCTATTTTTGGTAGTGACAGGGTGGAAAATTCCACATGACCGCAAATATGGAGAGCCGCGGTGATCATAACATATTGGCATGCTACTGAATTATTAGAAAAGGCCTATCAATAGTTGATGTGCAGACAGGCTCTGCAAAACTGACTTGACTGGCATTTGGCAGGGACTTGAGTTCACCCAGAACTTTCACCATTCTCTGCTCCTGAGACCTGAGAAGTTTTGTTCTGTTTGCTTTTGTTGGGAGTGGGAGTCTCTGCCCACCCAGGCTGAGTGCAGTGGTAGGATTGCCTCACCACAGCCTCCACCTCCTGGGCTCAGGCGATCCTGCCTCGGCCTCCAGAGTAGCTAGGACTACAGGCATGCCCCACCAAACTCGACGAACTTTTTGTTTGGTTTGGTTTTCGGGGTTTTTGTTTTGAGTTGGAGTCTCCCTCCGTCGCCCAGACTGGAGTGCAGCGGCCGCTCCCGGCCCCCGCCGCCTCGACCTGCTGGGCTCCGGCGAGCCTTCCGCCTCAGTCGTCTTTTTTGGGGAGAGATGAGGTCTCCTATGTTGCCCAGGCTGGTCTCCCCAAAATCCTCTCACCTCAGCCTCCCAACGAGCTGGGATTACACATGTGAGCCGCGGCGCCTGGTCTCCCTTTTTTTTAACCTTCCCTTTGCACTTGCAACTGAGGCCCAGACGCAGGCCACGAGCTGCCCAAAGCCGTGCGGCTCCTAAGGGACAGGCTGCGGACCCTGTGACCAAGGCAGACAGGCCTGGGAACGGCAGAGGCCGCGGCCCG